CACAATGGAGTCCAAAGTCCTGCCACCCTGATAATCTTCTGTTTTTGTTGGACCCCAAAATCTTGATGGTAGGGAATCCCTGCACCTCATACTGACTTCTGAGGGACTGATGTTTATCTGCATCAACTGCACCCACTTTTACAACATCTTTTAAAGCAGTTGCCACTTTCTTCCATTCTGGTGTTAACCATTGGCAGTGGCCACACCATGGAGCAAAGAATTCTACAAGCCACAAACTATTACTTCAAATAACTTCTTGGTTGACATATGATGGAGTTAATTCAATTACATCATCACTAGAAGAACACAGCCTATTCACTATTAGAAAGGTGTAGCTCACCAGACCTAACACTAGGCTGAGTCTGGGCCACTGCACAATCTTGCCAACCCTCAGCTCTGCTGCACCTTGCCCCTGTCCCTTCTAGTAGGCTAATTTTTAAGTTCATAATTTTAAGTTGATAAATGATGTTATAAATATCCAAATGGCCCTTGGGAGAATAAAGGTTCCCCACTCTTATCCTATCTAATAAAGGGAATATATTATACTAATTGTCCCTCACACCTTTGCAAAGATGGTGGCACCCACAGCCAATAAGGAGGGAATATGCTAATTGGCTGCTCCATCCTTACATATGGCAGCACCAACAGCCACAAGATGGTGATGCCCAGTCCCCTCAGCTCTGCCGGAGCGCCTGCCTCCAAAGTCCCCAATCCCCTCAGCCCCCAGGGCTGGCCCAAGGCGCAGGCAAGCCTCAGATGTCAGCAGCCCAGCCACCCAAGACCTGCCCAAGGTGCAGGTAATCAGACTGGTCAAGGCTTGCACTACCAGCAGTGGCAGCAGCAGAGGTGTGATGGGGCATCACCTTCTCCTAATCGCTGGGCTACCTCCCACCCCTGAGGGTTCCCAGACTGTGAGAGGGGGCAGACTGGGCTTTTAGTTCTAGAATAAAGTTTAAAACTTACAATGCCAAGTTTTATATAAAGATATGAAAACATTATCTTTGGACTGAATCACCATAATTTGTGATTCTTGACTTTGGGAGGGTTCAAGGTAGAAGTTCCCAGCAGGGCTTTCATGTTATTCTGGCCATGTAATCATGCATATGTAACCAGTTAGACCAGTGCCCTTACCTTGGCCAAGAATAAAAAAACAGATATCCAGGCGAAACCGGTTTGGCTCAGTGGATAAAGCATCGGACTGCAGACTGAAAGGTCCCAGGTTCGATTCCGGTCAAGGGCATGTACCTTGGTTGCAGGCACATCCCCAGTAGGGCGTGTGCAAGAGGCAGCTGATCGATGATTCTCTTTCATTGATGTTTCTAACTCTCTATCCCTCTCCCTTCCTCTCTGTAAAAAAATTGATTAAAAATATTAAAAAACAAACAAACAATCAAACAAAAAAGCACACACAGATATCTAGATAAAGAGAAGAACTTTGTAATCCAACTGTAAATCAATTTTATATTCCACAATAGGAAATTCCAGAACAGGTGTAACCAAGCAAGAACCTTATTTTCTTTAATCTGCCCTATTATTTTGATGTTTTGCCTTTGACTGAAACTGGTCTCACCAATATCCTGACCCACCCACCTCCCTTCTCTCTTGCTTAATCATTAAGCCCTCAGAACAATGAAGTTCTGGTTAGCATCCAATAGTTTTAAAAATAAAGCCTCAGGTCTGTTGACCACGGAGAGTTTCAGTTAAACTAGAAAGAACACATCAGCCTCAGCTGATCCACTAACCACATCCTTGTGAAAACAGGTGGAGCAACCTGAGGTCAGGACCAGATACCCTAGTGCTGACCAATCAGTAGAAACCCTGTCCATGACCCTAACTGCCTTAGTCACCATGATTAATGATTTTCCCTATACAGCCCATCCTCTAGAAGCCACCAGGGAGCCAGGTCTTCGAGCACGAGCTACTTATGACTCAGCATGGCGCCATCTCAGTAAATCCTTATATTCTTGGCTGCAAACTCTTGTTCATGTCTTATTTGGTTTTGATGCTAAGAGGCAAAAGAACCCTTTTAGTCCAGTAACAGGCGAAACTATAGTGACAGAAAGCAGATCAATGATTCCCTGGGACCAGGGATGGGGGAAAGGTGATTCAGTGCAAAGGAGCACAAGGTAACTTTTTAAGAGATAAAATTATTTTCCATATTTTGATCTATTATATACAATGACCAGAAGCTATTAAGCATTACATTTAAAATTAACTATTTCGCTGCCTTAAGCATCTAAAGGCCAACTTTAAAATAATTTTTTCTTGAGAATTCCCAACTGAAAATATTCAATAACACCCAAATTTTAACATATTTATTTTTACAATATTCATTGCAAATTGATTTTTAAAAATTAAATTCAAAATATCATGGAGTGTAGAGATGGTTTCCGTTTTGGACGAGTGGCAGTTAACTTGTTAATAAATTCTATTGTATGTAAATAACTTAAATAAGGGCATCATGTTACTTTTTAAAAGGGCACCATGCTATATTTAATCTTTTGGGACTAGATTTTTTAATATTTTATTGCTAAGATTCATCCATGCTATATTTCACCGTAGTTCATTTGTTTAGACAGCTGTGTAATATTCTGTTATGTGAATATTCCAGTTTATTTGTCCACTCTTGTTCATGGGCATTTGGGTTATTTTCTGAGATGAGGGCTGCTATAAACATTCTTGTACATGTCTCCCAGTGTACATGAATTAATTTCTCTTGGATTTATCCCAAGTCTGGAATAACTGGGTTGTAGAGTAAATTACTATTCAATTACAGGAGATAAATTTTTTTTTTTAAATATGTTTTTATTGATTTTGTACAGAGAGGAAGGGAGAGAGATAGAGGGCTAGAAACATCAATGAGCGAGAGTCATCGATCAGCTGCCTCTTGCCCACCCCTACCGGGGATATGCCCGCAACCAAGGTACATGCCCTTGACCGGAATGGAACCCGGGTCCTCTCAGTCCCCAAGCTGATGCTCTATCCATTGAGCCAAACTGGTTTCGGCGATAAATTCTTTTTTAAAAGTACTTCTCTGCTTTTCTTACCTGGGTATCTCTGTCTCCAACTAGACTTGCAGTCCAAGGGCAGAAGACCCTCTCATCTTGAATTATCACTGCTTTGCTTTCAACTAGGACAGCTTGCACCCCCAGGAAACCCCCAGAAGCCCAGGCATCTGAGTAAACAACAGGCAGGGAGCACATATCACACAAGATGCTAATTAAGATCCTACTCCCTAGAGATCCATCTTCCTAGATTCACTAGGATTTTGAGTCTGGAAGGTCTTCCAGGGACCTCAGTTATAATGCAAATCCCAAGAAAGGAGAAGGCTTAACCTCATCTAAAATCTTTCTCAGCTGGTACCTCTAAATCCAAATAAGGATTAGCAGGAAAGGCATAAAAGAGCAAATAGAGTGATAAAATAGGAAAAGAAAGGATTATTGGGAAGAACTAAGAATACCAGTATTCTAAAAGTATGCACCTCTTCTGCACAAGTATTTCAGAAAAACATTTTAATTAAAAAACAAATAACTACATGTGACCACAAACAATTTTTAATATCCCTGTCATTAAGATATGCCTTATTTGTGCTAAGTAGTTACAATCCTATATAATAAAAGGCTAATATGCAAATAGACCAAACAGCATAACAACCAGTTGCTATGACATGCACTGATCCCTCAGGGGCAGATGCTTAATGCAGGAACTGTTTCCTGGTGGTCAGTGTGTTCCCACAGGGGGAGTGCCACTCAGCCAGAAGCCAGGCTCATGACTGCCAGTGCAGCAGCAGTGGTGAGAGCCTCTTCCGCTTCCGCCGCATCAGTTGGGCGTCCTCTGAGGGCTCCCGAACTGCAAGAGAGTACAGTCCGGGCTGAGGGATTCTCCCCTCTGAGTGCATAAATTTTGTGCATAGAGCCTCTAGTAATAACATAATTGACATGCAAATAGTAAGCACACTGTAGGAGGTGAGGCCCTAAGATGCTGGAGAAAGAGCTCCTGAGTGATTTGGGATGGGTCAAACAAATGGCAGCAGAGCTCAGCAAAAGAAAAGGAATAAGGGAAAAAAAAACCCAGAACATAATAAGACATTAGGAGATTCCTAGGTGGTCAGAAAGCAAAGGAGGAGCACTGCCATTCTCAAGGATGAGGTCTCATTTTCCCACATAATCCCAATTACTACATTTTCAGCAGCTCCCTGGCTACCTGTCATACATGAGCTCAAGATATACTTGCTAAAGAAATGAACAATAGAAGACACACACACAAAAGAGTAACACAACCCTGTGACAAAGCAACTTCCCCAGTCACAATTGGGCAGCAGGAGGAATAGCTGGAATTATTAGCTTAGGAGAGCTTTCTCAATGTAAGTAAGCAGACTGCATTGGCTTAACATTTTTAGTTATTTGTTTCTTACATAAGATCATAGCCATATGGAGAAATTTGTTTTGGCCCGCTGACTGCTTAAGAATGATCATGCAGACCTTACACTCATCTCAAGTGTAAGGAGCTCTGTAACCAGGGGGCTGTAAACAGACATCGAGCCACCTAGGAGCTAGTGCTCAGTAGCAGCAGTTGGGACAAGTAGAACCAACAGTACTTGGACTAATATGAGGCCCCCAATCACAGCCTCAGCTCTTTGGAGCTTCAACAATTTTATTGATTAAATGCTTCTTCCCCAGTTTACAGTTTAAAACTGTGGGCCTGCTCACTGGCTCCTCCTCCTAAGCCTCCAATGGAGCAGGAACATTTAGTATAGGCTTACAGATGGAAAGTGGGAAGTGGAGTATAATAAGTGAGTTAGAAACCTGCTGATGCTCCACAATTGGACAGCAGGACAGAAAAACTCCTACTTCCTACTGATAAAAACTACCTATAGAAAGACTTAAACACGATGGAGATGGGACCCAGAGTGTTTCTTTGCCAATGGTCTCAATTTCCAATGACTCCTTGGGAGTTTATCCTTTGTCTTCACACACCAGGGCTCCAGGAACGGGGTGATGCTATGTCAGTCTACACATTTTGCAAAAGTACATAGGCCCAAAATTGGCCATGAGGTTTGGGATTACCAGCTCCCCAACGTGGCAGGATGGGAAAAAAAAGAACGTGTCCATGAAAAGCTTTCTGAAGGGAGTTAGGTCTTCTACCCGAACTTCGATGTTATATTGATTAGCCAGGAGTTCGATGGCACCTTGAACCACGTACTCGTTCTGTAAGTGTGAGAGTGAGCAGGTGGAATACATAACATAGCCTCCTGGTTTCGTGGCAAGAAGTCCAGCCCTGAAACCAGAAAGAGACAAAACAGTGACTAGTGAGCTTCCCAGAAGTAGGAGGACAACAGAGGAGCTGGAAGCATGGATAGAGGTGTCTCCTGTGGAATGGATAGCTCATTCTCAAGGCAGAGAGCAACCCAACCTTATTCCATGAGCTCTCTTCTCGAAGCCTTTTTGAAATGATCCCCTGAGCTGTGGCTCTAGTTATGAACTAAACCCTGATGCTAGCTATGGATTGAGTTCTTACCCCAGTCCTAGAGAACCTTGACCTCAGCAACTATGTTTCCAACTTGAGCTATTTACTGTAGGGAGTGCTATAGGGTTAAGCCTTGGACTGACTGGTTGGCAAAGCCACAAGAAAGTCACAAGTTAGAGGGCACAGCCCTCTTAGCATAAATAAGCTTGACCTTATGACACTCCCTAGGTCCTTCCTGGGTAGCTAATGGGCTATAAAAGGTGTAGCAAGTGCTGCCAAAACAAGTGAAACTCACAAGAACATTGTAACTATGGTGACCACTACCTTGTTTACCTCTCACTATAAAATAAAGGCTCAGCTTGCCACCTGGGTGTCTCTCTGTGGCTTCAGCCAGGCACAGGAAGATCCACCTAGACCCAACTTATTCTCTTTGTCTGTCTTTTCTACATCCTTCGCTGCTCCCACTCAGGCTCCCCGAACCCTTGGATGTGCTGGTACGGCATATGTGGCATCCAATGCAGGGCCTGAATTCGGGGGAACTGCAGTTGTCAGGTGAAAGGACGCTCTAATAAAGCATGTGCAGAAAGCAAAAAAAAAGAAGGTAAGGAGCGAAGTTTAGTAATAACTAGGTGTAAAACATGGGAAATTCAGGATGGCAAGGAAAGAATTTATACGTATCCATGCTTAAGGCTATGCTCCAAACACGGGGCTGTTCTGTGAAGTATGAACAGCTTTTTGATTTATTGGATTTTATAAGTAAAACCTGCCCATGGTTTCCTGAGGAAGGAAAGGTAAATGTAGAGGCATGGGAGAAGGTAGGAAAACAACTTAGAGATGCTAGAAATGAAAGCCAAAGGGCTACAGGGAGTGTAAACAAGCAGCCTGGACTATGTCCAAGAGGCAGGAGAGGAAAGCACTGGGTAAACGAATGCGGCTCCAAGACTGATGCTGATAATAATCCAATGCCTCCTTGGCAGGGAAACTTCAAGCAGAGCCAGCCATCTGGGTCTCTCTGTGGCCTCAGCCAAGCACAGGAAGATCCACCTAGATCCAGCTTATTCTCTTTGTCTGTCTTTTCCACATCCTTCGCTGCCCCCCCCACCCACCCCCGCCCCCTCAGACTCGCCAAACCCTTGGCTGAACTGGCCCACACACTTACTGTATTGGGACTAGCATGGAGGTAAGTGGACATACCAGTAAGTGAATCTATGTAGCCTACCATACTATGCATGTCCTACTACATAGGGTTTTTTGTTCCAGAGAAGTCATCCTCTTGATGTCGGTCTTCTCCACAGGTCCTTAGACACAAGATCCTTCTATGGGTGATGTTCTTGGAAAGAGCTTCCAGTCCCCCAGGTGACCAGACCGCCCCTCGCCTCCCCCCCCCCCCCCGGGTTTATGTAAATCTATCACTCACGCAAGAAGCTGCACCTGCAGCATAGGTAACTTCTGCCGCTCCTTCTTTCTTGAGCGCTGAAAAATGTTGTTCTCCTCCTCATGAAGGGAGTGGCGGTCTGTGGTACAGGGGACATCCACCAGCACCTGTCCAGCAGTGTTAAAGGATAAAGTATTAAAGCTCCTTAAGGCCAAGGCTATTTTAGGTCCCTGATCTGGGGGGTTTGCAGAGCGCTCCCTCTGCCAATGCTTCCATTGTAGACTACCTGACAAAACTCATTTTAACCCGATAGGCCAGTTAGCGGCAAACTCATTAATCAACAGAGCCAAATATCAACAGTACAATGATTAAAATTTATTTTTTCTTTCTTTCTTTCTTTTTTTTTTTTTTTTTTTTTAAATATTTTATTGATTTTTTACAGAGAGGAAGGGAAAGAGATACAGAGTTAGAAACATCGATGAGAGAGAGTCATCGAACAGCTGCCTCTTGCACACCCCCTACTGGGGATATGCCCGCAACCAAGGTACATGCCCTTGACCGGAATTGAACCCAGGACCCTTCAGTCCCCAAGCCGACGCTCTATCCATTGAGCCAAACCGGTCCCGGCTAAAATTTCTTTTGAGAGCCAAATTTTTTAAACTTAAACTTCTAACGCCAATTCTTCAAAATAGACTCACCCAGGCCATGGCATTTTGTGGAAGAGACACACTTAAGGGGCCAAAGAGCCTCATGTGACTCTTGAGCTGCAGTTTGCCAATCACGACGATAGGCAATTGTGAAATAATGAGTGGGAAAATAGTATGTTTAGGTATACTCCTAGTTAAAAACAAAAACTAAAACCAACACACAAATAGCTATAATTACATACTTGATATCAACCTATAAGAAGTCTTTAGTACTTCAGAGCTCTGTCCTTGGTTCAGTCCTTAGCTATTTGAATAAAATCATCTAATTTACAGATCATAGAGTGTCCAGAGGGTAACTAATATACTCAACAGGATTAGGATTTAAAATATCTATGCTACCCTGGCCAGGTAGCTCAGGTGGTTAGTGTCGTCCCAATTCACCAAGGTGGTGGGTTCAATCCCTATCCAGGGCACACACAAGAATCAACCAGTGAATGAATAAATAATTGGAACAACAAACAATGTTTCTCCCTCCCTTCCTCTCTTTCTCTTTCCCTCCTTCCCTCTAAAATCAATAAATAATTAAAAAAAATAAAATCTTATGCTAAAACAGTGTCATATCTGATATGAAAAGTTTTAAAGTGAGAAATGTAAAAATCATTCATTTCCTAAGAACCTACCCTGGGCAAGGCACCAAAAACAAAAAGAAAAATGTTTAATTGTCCTATGTTTATATTTTAAAAAAGTAAAATCATCTAGGAAAAGTATGTTCATTTTTAGCTAAACAGAAACTCCAAGTAAATTAATAATGACCCATTGTTCAATACTTAGATGTTTTCCTAAGCTGCATGAATTGACATAATACATAGAGTCCTATATCTCAAGAACTATGCTGGCCTTCGCAGGAAAAAGAAATATTAATAAGGATGCCCAGAGAAGGGCCACTGGGAAGTTTAGAAATAAAACTTCTTCTTCCAGCAATGTAGTGAACTAGATGTCCTAAAACCCTTGCAATACAAAACACCTGAAGAGTGGATAAAATAGCCTGGCAGTTTTTCTCAGTGGTTAGAGCATTGGCCTTCAGACTGAAGGGTCACAGGTTTGATTCCCAGTCAAAGGCACACACCTCAGTTGCAGGAGACAACCAATTGATGTGTCTCTCTCACATCAATGTTTCTCTTTCATTCCTTCCCCACTTCCTCCACTTTCTCTAAAAATCAATGGAAAAACATTCTCAAGCCTCAGGTGAGGATTAAAAATAAAATTAATGAAATCCTCAAAAGCCAAAGAAAAAGTAGAATCATAGTCCTGGCTGGGTACCTCAGTTGGTTGGAGTGTTGTCATGTACACTAAAAAGGTTGTGGGTTTGATTCTGAGTCAGGACACATACCTAGGTTTCTGTTTCAATTTTGGTCAGAGTATGTACAGGAGGCAACCGATCGATTTTTCTCTCTCATATTGGTGTTTCTCTCTTCCTTCCTCTCTCTAAACTCAATAAACATATCCTTGGGTGAGAGTTTAAAAGTAAAAAAAGTAGGCCATAGCTGGTTTGGCTCAGTGGATAGAGCATCAGCCTGCAGACTGAAGGATCTCAAACTGGATTCCAGTAAAGGGTGCATGACCAGGTTTCAGGCTCCATCCCCAGTGGGGGGCATGCAGGAAGCAGCCAATCAATGATTCTATCTCTCTCTCCCTCTTCCTTCCTCTCTGAAATCAATAAAAATATATATTTTTTAAATGTAAGAGCACAAATGTAGGGAGGCATGCTAGAGCTGAAGCCAATGGCTTCTATCTTTTATCAGATCCCTAGCCACCCACACACACCAAGAAAAGAAAAAGAATAGAAAACAGGGCACTGGGCCCATTTGAAGTAGGGAATTGGAATGTAAATCCATAGCAAAGCCAAAATTCTCAAAGGGCTACACTGTCAATCAAAGAATAAACTAGAAAAAAAAAAAAATCAGTCCACAATAGACAAGATACTTTGTCTGTTTTGGCTTAACTCTGGGCAAAAAGAAAAAAAAAATATCCCTGAGAATTTTTAATGACTAAGATAGAAGATTCAAATCTAGAATGCCTGCATGATCCAGAAAATCCCACACAGAATAATTAATGGTCATGGGTTAACAGATCCTCCAAACACCTGAGGAAAGGAAATGTAGGTTTCTTTCTAGAGGAATAGAGGAATGCAAATCCTCTATAATTAACTAGGGCTCTATAACTAACTCGGGAATATCATAAGCTACTAAAAAAAAAAAAAAAAAAAAAAAATCAGGTCTTCTCAATCCTAGTAAAGGCCGAATAGCTTGTTGCAAACCAGTCCTCTAGCTGGAACAACTAGAAATGCTTAATAAAATATTTAAAATACCCATCTGAAATCATTAGAGATCTACTAAGGCAGTGGTTGGCAAACTCATTAGTCAACAGAGCCAAATATCAACAGCACAACCATTGAAATTTCTTTTGAGAGCCAAATTTTTTAAACTTAAACTTCTTCTAACACCACTTCTTCAAAATAGACTCGCCCAGGCTGTGGTATTTCGTGGAAGAGCCACACTCAAGGGGCCAAAGAGCCGCATGTGGCTCGAGAGCTGCAGTTTGCCGACCACGGTACTAAGGAAGCAAGAAATTTAAGGGTTTCTGAGCAACCAAGTTGAAATGAGAAATAAAGTAAGCCTAATATACATTTTTTATACTCAGTCAGGTTCAAACTTGTTTTTGCTGCTATCTCTAATGAAGATAGTAGTAGCCAGTCATCTAAGCTAAACTGATAATTCTGTAGATGCATGGAGAGCTGACCAGCTCAAGAAACAGCCCTTACATGCTCAAACATGTAGGGCTCAATCCTACTGCCCGGAGCCTAGAGTCAGGATGAGGAGGCCAGATTTGGCTGGCTGGATGTCCTAGGATAGGAATCACTCACCCGGTCATAGGTGTCCCCCTCCAGTTCTCCCCACTTCCTGCCATCCCATGAGGTGACTCGAACTCGACTCTTATCCCTAAAATCTTCAGGTACATAGCTGTGAAGGACATTCTGAAGTCTGCCTGTTCGGGAAGTGGAGAGATCATTGGCAGCAAGATTGCCTGTGGGAACATAAATTTGAGGATTGTTTTTTTACTTCTGTAAAAAATGCCATAGGAATCTTGATAGCGATTGCACTGCATCCATAGATGGCTTTTGGTAGTATGGATATTTTATGTGTGTGGGAATAAAGGAACTTCAGAGGTCATGGCCCAACATCCCACAAGCAATGGTGCTAAAGGCAACAATAAAATAGGTTGTCCCTGGTGATTGTGGAGCCTACATCTCAGCCCTGGACTGCTTATATTCCAGCTTTTCTTATGTAAGACAGAAATAAACTTTTCTTCATTAAGCTAGTTGAGTTTTCTATTGTATATGACCAACCCTAATCCTAAATGATTCACCATCTATCTTTCATTTTCCCTTTTGTAACTGACACAAGTCCAATAAACATTCCACTTTGCTCTTGGTTCTACAGTAAGAGAAAGTATTACTGCAAGCTTGCTGATCAAAGGCAATTGATAGCTGGCCTCAGAGTCAAGAAGAGAAATGGAGGTGGTAAGTGTGGTCAAGAACTAGAGTGAATGTATGGCAACAGAAGAAACTAGACTTTGGGTGGTGAGCACACAATAGAGTATACAAATATAAAAATATAATATATACCTAAAATTTCTATACTGTATTAACCAAGGTTACCTCAATAAATTTAATTGTGAGAGGGGGAACTAGAGAGTGCATACTTTATCTAATGGGAATGGTCACTACCATAAAACAGTTTAGTATTCTCACAAGGAAATGTGGTTTTAGGACATCAAGAAGTAAAAACTGTATTCTCTGTTCCAGAGGAATTTGCAGTTGGATATGAACTGAGAACAGAAAAGCTGAGTTCTATTCTGGTTCTACCTTTAACTTATATAAAAGGTTTAAGTTATTTAATCTCTCTTTGGTTCAGTTTCCCCCTCCATAAAATATGAGGGCTGTACTAGGTAAACTCTAAGTTCCCTTCTGGCACTAAAATTCCTCTCTCTGGGATCAAGGAGTTGCTAGGATGAAGGTGAACTGCTGGTAATTTAGCACACTGAAGAGCAACTGTCAAGTATGTTTCCTTGGCCCTTCTTGCTTCTCTTAGTTCAAGTTCCTCCTCTTCCAAGCAACCCTACTTGTTTCATCCCTCTTCTGATGGATTTCCACGTCACTCAGTAAGATCAGCACAGCTCAACACACAGGCATTGACCTCATTATTATGCTATATCAACATCTTTTCTCCTTTCCCTCTGGACTTCCAGAAAGCTGAGATCAAATGTGGTGCCCCCCAGAATCATTCATGGGGCTTACCATGAGGCTGGAAGCTATGCAAAATGTACAAGTTGTCTGATGAGAACTGGAAATGAAGGGTGCAGGCCTAACAAAAAGGTAGGGTATATTGCAAGAGAAGCCTGCCTGAGTGCCAGGGTTGAGTGTGAAAATCACAGCACCCTTATGGATATTTGTCAGGTCCTTAAGGAGAAAATACTGCCTATTAAAGGCAGGATGTAGGCCAAGAAATGGCTGAAGTAAACACTTACAGTTCACAAGGCCCAGCCTAGGCTACACTACTAAAATGGTAAGACTTGGTCCTGTCTCCAAGGAGTTAATAATCTTGAAGAATGAGAAGGTGCCCACTCGGTAAAGCTCTCATGAAAGGCTAATAATGTGCAAAGGTGATGGCCAGGATTGGATACATAGGAGACAGCATCACTTCTAAACTGGCCAGTAGAGGCCATGAGGGAAGACTTCCAGGAGGTGGCACACTTGAGTTGAGGCTTGAAAGTTAAAAGGAATTGGGAAGGTATATTCTAGAGAGAAAACAACATGAACAAAGGGGGGAGGCTAATTTGGACAACAGAGTAGCAGGATATGGCTGAAGCACATAAAGCCTGGGGAAGAATAACATAAACCTATAAAGCAGGGGTAGGGAACATCCCATAGGCCTATAAGGCCCATGAAATCATTTGGTCTGGCTGTTCTAAGGCATTAGGGGTGAGGAAATTAAATGTTTGCCCAAATATAGCAGGCTAATTTTTAAGTTGATAATTCTGTATGGCCCGCCAATGATGTTATAAATATCCAAATGGCCCTTGGCAGAAAAAAGGTTCTCCACCCCTGCTATAAAAGTTCTCTGCAGCCAGATCTTATTGCTTTAGCTGGCAACTTAGTCTTAGAGATGAAGTAAATAGGGAGTGAAAGTATCATATGGTAGATTGACTAGGACATTACTTTAATCTGTCTTCAGAGGCCTTGCTCTGCTTGGCAATCTTCCTTGGCCAACTGACAGAGAAATAGAGAAAATAATTAGAAAAAATACACCAGCAAGCACTATCCCCCCTCTGATCTTAGGACCAAAGACATCATATTCAGTGTGCCCCTGACTGGGTGAAGTAGAGAGCCCTCCCTGCCCAAGACACCAGCCCTCTGACTTACGGCAACAGCCAGTCTGAAGCAATGCTAGTGTCTTTCCCCCGGGGGCTGCACATAAGTCAAGCACTGTGTCGCCAGGCTGCAGGCCAAGGGCAAGGACAGGCAGCAAGGAGGCAGCATCCATCAGGTAGTAGTCCATGACACCGAAGCTGCCACGCCTGGAAGAGAGAAGAGCAACTTATTGTCAAATTCCAAGTCAGAAGATCCAATGGGAGTCAAGGTCACCAAGTCCACATCCTCAGGGGTTTTTAAGCTCTACTCAGCAACAACTCATTTCTCAGACCCACACTCACTTATTTACTCACTCACCCACTCATCTACACAGCAGCCAGAGTAAGCCTTTTAAAGCAAGTTCAATCCACTCTAATCAAGCCCCACTAGCCATCTTTCTATTTAATTAAGCCATGCCTGCTCCTGGCTCAGACTTTTTGTTGCTGTATCTTCTACTTACAATACTCCCAAATATCCCTCACTTGTTTCCTCACTTCTCCAGACCTCTCCTCACAAATTACTTCATCAAAAGGCACTGGCATTCCCTGACCACTTTATCTAAAAATATTATAGAAGCCACTTACTCTCATCACCTTCTAGCTCTCTATCTTTTCTTTAAAGCACTTACTATTTACTTTATATATAAAGATGTGTGTGTGTGTGTGTTTTCCTTCTATTCCTTCCTATTAGAATGAGGAAAGGAATTTTGCCTAGTTTGTTTATCATAAACTGAAACAGTGCTTCCTACTATATGTAGGAACCCAGTTTTATTGAGTTACATACTGAGATGGCTCAGAGAAGAGTGCCATCCTTGTGCCTGTTGGAGTTAGGCCTGATGAAGGCCTATCCTTCATCAGGTAAAAAAATCTAACAAAATAAAGGAAAGAGGATGGAAGGGGATTTGACTTGGAGTGACAAATGCACAATATACAGATGATGTATTATAGAATTGTACACCTGAAGCCTATGTAATTTTATTAACCAATGTCACCTAAATAAATTAAAAATTAAAAGTAACCATAATTTAAAAAAAAAAGCAGAATAAAAATGAAGATACAAAGGAACAGAAGCATGCAAACTCATAGCTTCTTTCAGAAGCAGCAATAATCTGATAATCTGGTATAGTAGAAATACAAGGTGAATGATACTGAGTCATTTGGAAAGCAGAGGGAAGCTAGGTTGGAAAAGGTCTTAAATCCTTTGCTAACGAGTTTGGACTTCAACTTGTAAGCAGATACCAAAAGCTTAAGGAAAAGTATGTGTTCTGATCATCTACATAGAGTTTTAGGAAGTGAGGTGGGCTAGAAAGAACAAATTAGAAATGTTAGTGAAAAGGCTATTACAAGAATCCAAGTGAGAGCCAACAAGGCATGAAGAGAGGCAGCAATGTTGTTTAAAAAGGGACAAAAGACAACTAACCATCCAACAGTCACAGAAGTACTTCTCACTCTCAGGCCAGTTGGCATAAGGTGGCACAGCTATTCCCCATGGTTCTGCCTAAAGCTAATGCCTCCAAATTGGTCTCTAAACCTACTCCAATCTATGTTCTCACCACCACAGTGACTAATGATATTCCTGAAGCCCTAGACAGTTTGGCTCAGTGGATAGAGCATCAGCCTTTGGACCAAAGAGTCGTGGGTTCAATTCCAGTCAAGGGCACATACCTTGGTTGCAGGCTCCTCCCCAGCTCAGATTCGGGTGGGGAAAGGCACATGCAAGAGGCAACTAATCCATGTGTTTCTCTCACATCAATGTTTCTATCTTTTCCTCTTTCTTCCACTCTCTCTAAAAAAATCAATGGTAAAATACTCTTGGGTGAGGAATAAAAATGTAAAATAAACTGTCACTTTAAAATAATAATAATAATAAAATAATCTTCCTGAAGCATAACTTTGATGAGAATATGTCAATAGTAAGATATAGTACTTAATGAGGGTTATATTGAAGGTATTATACTAGGTGCTTAACATGTACTAGGTGTACCAGTTCATAATGAGGATTTTGTAATTTAAAAAACCATGATAATTTCAAGAGGAACATCAAAAATGCTTTATTCAAAGTTATGTCCATCACTAGCTACACATTTCCCCATCTTTCAGGTAATTTGTGGACAACTTTTCTTGTTTTGAGGCAAACCATTTAGAGACCCAATTTTCCACTTCTTTGTACATTTTGAAGTGCTGCTCAGATAGTGCGTGTGCCATCCATCAGAACAAGCGGTAACCTGAAGGAGCAAGGTCTGGTGAATACAGTGGGTGGATTAATAATTCCCAGGCAAGATCTTTTAATGTGTCTCTAACTGGTTTTGAAGTGTGTGGTGGTGCATTACCGCTAAGCAAAATTACTTTGCCATGTCTTCTGGCCCATTTTGGTTGTTTCATGATCAAAGTGTGATCATTGATTATTTGTTGCTGGTAGCGATCAGTATTAATGGTTTCACCTGGTTTTAGAAGCTCATAATACACCACACCTTCCTGATCCCAACAAATGCAGAACACTGTCTTCTTTCTGAAGCAATTTGGTCTTGTAGTTGATGTTGATGTTTGACCTGGATTAACTCATGATTTTGTGCATTTGGGATTCTCAAAATAAATCCACTTTTCATCACCAGTCACAATTGATGCAGAAAATTCTTTCATGCCGTTGAAGTAACATTTTACTGATGACTATTTGGTTTTCCATTTGTCTAAAATTCAGTTGATGTGGCACCCATTTTCCTTCCTTTAAAATCTTTCCCATTGCTTGTAAATAATTGGAAATTGTTTGCTCAGCAACACTTAATCTTTCTGCGAGTTGTTTTGAGTTTGACATGCATCTCCATCCAATAATGCTTGTAACTGTTGATCTTCAAACTTTTTTGGTTGACCTGGACGTTCTTTGTCTTTCACATCAAAAGCGTCACTTTTAAAACATTTAAACCAGTGTTCACAAGTACTTTGAGATGGAGCATGTTCACCATAAGCTTCCCGAAGTATATAATAACTTTCAGCAGTACTTTTCTTCAAAATAAAGTAATGAATTAAAACTTCCCACAAATCTCTCTTTTTTTGGCACGAAATTCAACATTTTTAAGTGTAAAAATATCTATGCTGTTAACACCTTCAGCAAAATTGACATATGAAGTTTTGAAGCTTATTGTCAATACAATAAAATAGCATACATATCAAATTGCATACATATCAAATTGCATAATATATACACGTGTAACTCCATCTATTGAAAAAATTCTGCATTATTAACTGGTACACCTAGTATAATTTCATTGAATCCTCAACACAACCCTATGAGAACCCAAATTTGAGAGCCAGTCTGCCTGGATCTCAAATCCAGTCCAATTGCTCATTAGCTGTGTGGCCTTCAACAAACACTAAACTTGTCTGTGCCTCAATATCCTCATCTATAAAAACAATACCAGATAGAATTATTGTAAGGAGTAAAGAAATTAATATATGTCAAATGCTTAGAAAAGCAGCTGGCACATAGTGAACTCTACTTACTCAATGCCACATGTCTCATAAGTGATGAAGGCTGGAGGCAAATCTAGGTTTTTTTGACTCCAAGTGGTTATCTAAAACAGATCTTGGCAATTTACAGCAGTATGTACTAAAGGATACATAGTATGAAGCCACCCAGCCCTGGCAATTTCAGCAACACTGAGCTACCAGAAAAAAATTCCCTTTCCCTAAACCTATAAGCTTCTGACATTCAAGATTCTCATATATGGCCTCCATATGTTTTTCCAGCCTCATACTACTCTTTTCTTAAAAAAAACATTTGATTTCAGAGAGGAAGAGAGAGGGAGAGACAGAAATATCAATGATGAGAAAGAATCATTGATCAGCTGCCTCCTGCACACCCCACATTGGGCTTTGAGCCCACAACCCAGGCATGGCCTTGACCAGGAATTAAATCGTCACCTCTTGGTTCATAGGTCAATGCTCAACCATTGAGCCATGCTGGCCAAGCTCTTACTACTCTTAAGCATACAGGCTTCTTTCAAGCCAGTTGATAGGCCTATTGCAAAAGCCTCCTAATTTACATTCCCATTTCTAGCCTTGCCCCTCTCCAATGTTTCCCACACAGTAGCCAAAATGATATTTTAAAAATTCAAATATGGTCAATGGAAAGATATGTACACATATAATACCTTAATAAAAAAAAAAGAAAAAAAATTCAAATATGGTCATATTATTTATCAGCTTAAAACTTTTCATAGTTCCCTTAGAGAAAAAGTCCAAAATCCAGTATGATACCTTTATAATCTGGTTCTTGCTTGCTGTAGTAGCCTCATATTTAGACTCTTACCCATGTTACCAGTTTTGATTCCTACTGTTTTCAGGTTTTAACTTAAATTTCACACCCTCAGAAAAGACTGGGTAATATCTCCTAATTATAGCATCTTGCAGTTTTCCTTTGTAGTATAATACTTATCAAAATCATAGTTTTTTTTTTAAATTTACTTTTATTTTCTGTTTTACTTTATTGATTGATTTGAGAGAAACATCAATTTGTTGTTCTGCTTATTTACCAATTCATTGGTTGATTCTTGTATGTGCTCCGACGGGATCGAACCCGCAACCAGGGCATATTGGGATGACACTCTAACCAACTGAGCTACCTGGCCAGGGCCATAATGTTTTAATAGCTGTTTTCCTCAATAAACTGTAAGCTCCATGAGGGCTTGTGCATCCAAAACTCAGAGACTTAAGAATGCTTGAGACAACCTGCTTCTGGGTTGGGGCTTTGTATGTAGCAGACCAGCTCCCTCGCTGCGATCTTTTGAAAGTCAGCCCTCGACACAAGGGTTTGTAAAAACGAAGAAAAAAGAAAAAGGAAAAAAAGAATGCCTGGCATTTGGTATACAATAAAAATTTGACTGAATGCATCAATCCTTCAAAGATCAATTCCACATTCTACAACTAACCCTAATCTGTTCTTTTCTCAATTTGTAAAACACAATTTAGCATTTGATTAGTTTCCTTTCCATTCAACTTCATATACATTTGGACACTGGATCAGAAAACCAGAGATTTTCCTTTCTTTTTCCTGGTGTACTAACTTTGTGCAAGCCCTATTTCCTGGGCAAGTCCCTCTTCTTCTTTGGTACCATGAGGTTACTTGTCCTATTCACTTGGTTATAAGAATGGGTGGTTATAAGAAAACAGCTATAAATAACACAAATTTTAACTGGAGAGGCTGTAGTAAATGCTCAAGTCAGAGGTGGTTGTTTTCTGTTGGAGGCAGTAGATCAGAGTAGGTTCAAAGTCTAGGTTCTGGTGTCAGACCACCAGAATCTATCTGTTGTACCACTTAAACTATCTAAGGGACCTAAAGCAAATAAAGACTTCAACTTCTCCGCACCTGTTTCCTCAAATGTAAAGAAGGAAAATAATATTACCTTTCTTTGAGGGCTGTTAACAGAAAAAAAGAGATAACATATGTGCAGCACTTGGAAAAAAGGCTAACATGTATAAGCACTAAGTAAATATTAGCAATATTATGATCTCTATTAAAGAAGGCAGGAGCTAGGTCTCTTCCTGTTTACTTCTAGCAGACACTCAAGGCAGCCCCAGCCATGGCTCCAGATACTACCTGGCAGGAGGGAAACGGCTGACATCCCCTCTGGTGAAAGTGAAGCATCGAAGGTTTGGACTGCAGGCCCAGGAAGCTGGGGATGGAGCTGCCGTTTGGCCACTCTCAGGCTCCAGTTCCCCATGGGAGTGGGCTTTTTTCACAAAGTCTCTGGCATGCATCTGCTCCAGTTCAGCACTCACATGATCGCAGGCAGCAAAGTTATTGACGAGTGCACCATACTTCTGCTCTGAGAGAAGACTGACCCGGATCGATGGCCAAAGATCTCCAAACTGCACACTGTAGGTCATGTCAAAATGCTGCAGAGCCAGGCGAGTGGCAGGAAATTTGGGCTCTGTGGCAGCCTACAAGGGAAAGAACATGTTTATCTGTCTTCTAGTTTTGCCTCTATCCCCTACTGCCCGACCCCAGCAATATATCAGATCTCTAGAGCTAATGTGGATCCAGTTAGTGCCCACTCTTGCCTTTGGACCCTTTCTTGGCCAGCCAGAGAAGTGTGGGAGAGAAAAGTACTAGGGAGCTGATCTATCTGTCTCATGGGTGTGAGAGAAAGGAAGCTGTAGTTCTCGCAATAGCATATAGGGGTCACCAAGAAAGGGGCAATCTTCCAGGCCTTGGAGTAAGAGGACCTTAAGAGAATGAGTGCTCAGAAGAGGACTCGAGGAAAATCTACAGAAGACTGGAAGAAACTACAGAGCCCTTATGGGAAGTATCAGGCTGTAAAGCCCTTCAATTTCCTAAAGCACTTTCATGTCTCTTAGCTTATGTAAGCACCACAACAAATAGTTCAGTGGGATACAAAAAATATCAATCTTCCACATTTGATGGAGATAAGGGTAACTTACCTAAGGTTATGCAGTGGCAAAAACCATAATGCGATTACAGAGTGGAGGGTAATTTTGGAGAGTTTCCAGACCCCAGAAAGGATAGGAAAAGGAGAGTTCATAGAGACTTTGGGGTTCAAAGCAAACTGGGAACTTCTAGAATGACTTCTATGGGAGTAGCAGAGAGGGACATCAGTCAGGCTTGATGAGCATAAAGTAGATTCAAAGGAAAATGAAGGTATCAACTGAGGAGTCCATAAGTTGGTCCAGATTGCCACGGCTGAGTGTTTACTATGGTTGGGCAGTCCTGTTCCTGTCGTGAACTTTGCTTTGGTCTGGATTTCAGAACTCTTGCTCTTGGCTCTCATATCTTATCCTTTTGGGGACTCTTGCTTCGGCTCTTGCCTTGATGGCAGCTTTTGCGCTTGCAGTGCCTTTTGAGTTGCTGGGAACTCTTGTTTTGGCTTAAACTTTTGCTATGGAGGGAACTCTTGTTTGGACCTTGGCTTTTTCTATATTGGGGACTCTTACTCTGTCTCTGAAATATACCAAGTTGACAACTCTCACTCTGATCCTCATTCAAGCTCTGGTGGGAGCAATTGGTCTGGCTCTGATATCTGCTAACATGGCAACACTTGCTTTTACTCCGACTTCTGCTAGGATGGTTCTGATTCTCACACTGACTTCTGCTTTGGTGGATATTCTTGCTCTGGTTGTCACTACTCTGGCATTCAGTAATTATAACAGTTGAACTACTGCGGGGAATGTTGCTACAGCTGGAACTCGTGGGTGAAGTCAATGGAGAGCTGTAGGGTATCCGGGGGGGCTCTTTGGGAGGGCCTTGAGAAGCCACAGAGTAGACGTGGAAGCCACAGGGCATAGTATCAGGGTGGCTGCAGGGTCGGGGGGCAATGGGTAAACTATGGGGGTCAAAAGGTGTTCTTAAAGGGATATATGAATAGATGTGGGTAGAACATGGAGGTCCTACAGGCTGTCGAGGGGGTTGGGGTGGGCCTCTGGGAGTGCCATAAGTGCCACAAGGAGGCACCATGGGCTGCTTATAGCACTGAGGGGGATTAGTGGAACCAGAGAGTGGGCAGGGATTAGAAGTGGAGGGAACCACAGAATATATATGGTTATTGCAAGGGGCTCCCACAGGAGGTCCATGGTGATGGCTCTGAACATGAGGTAAGAGAGGATCACAAAGAAGGCAGGGGGGAAGTGAAGTGGGGTTAACAGTTTTTGTGGTTCTAGGGACCAGAGTAGGTAAGACAGTCCCTTGGGGACGTGTTTGTGGGCAGGAATTTGAACAAGTTGCAGTGGAACAAGAATCAGAGAGACCAAAAGGATGGGAGGGAAGTGGAGGAGAGGCGCTATCCTTAGGGGGCTTGGGCTGATCAGAGGGTGGGTCTTGGGCAGAGCTATAGGGAGCATATGGCTGTTTTAACTCTGGAGATCTGGTGGACTTCACTTGGGGACAAACTTGGGTAAGGAGAGAGGGTTCATTATAGCTTCTCCGGGGAGGTGACTGAGGAGGAGATGTAAACTGGTTGCCCAGAGATGAAGGGAAAAAGAAGGCAGAATTAGGATGCTGCGTGGACAGGGGAAGAGGTGGTTCCTGGGAACAGGGGGAACCAGAAATCGGGGTGCCAGAAATAAGGAACGAGTTCCCATTCGTCTCCCAAGATTCTAAGCAAGGCTTCCTGGAAGCCTGGGACTGGGGTGAGCAAGAATCAATAATCCCAGCTGGTAAATGGTTGCCACAATAAGGGCTCCTGGGGGTAGATTCCTGGGCCTCTGGGGAAAGACGGGAAAAGTGATGTGAGTCCTCTTGAGGTGAGTGAAGACAGCCAGGTGCATTTGCCTGAGAAAATAGGGAGCCACAATAATTTTTCTCAAGGAGTGGGTCATGCTGGGGTTGAGGTTTACAAGAGTCTGGAGGCTTATGACGACCTAGGTAACGCTGGCCAGTGGGTGGGGAACATGTTGAAGAAAGAGAATCATTATAACTTTTCCCCGAGGACCAGGCAGGGCATAGGGGCGAGACCTGTGAGATCCCCAAAACCCTGGGAGAAGGGGGTGGGGAACCTATTGGTCTATATTCCATGGGCCGGTGAGCAAGGTAAGGTGAAATTATGGGGCCAGTCACCGGGTATGTTACCAGGGCCGAAGGATACTGAATAGGGTAACAGAGGTACGTGTTCTGATCAACGTAAGGGCTTCTGGGACAGGGCCACGTTGGTGTTCTCGGAAGACTCATCAAGCTGCAACAAAGGCTCTGCGGATGGAGAGGGGGTGACCCCACAAATCTGAATCGGTGAAAACAGGGGCTTGGAGGGGTTGAACCCACGTGGATAGGCTCGCGGTAGGATTGCCTTCCCAGTGGCAAAGAAGGTTCGAAAGAACACCTGGCCAGGCGCAGGGGAGATTGTGGGGGTGGGGAGAGGGGCGGCGGGGGCTGGGAGAGAACCGGTTCCGGTGGTCGGGCGCCGAGCATGCCAGTTTGGGAAGAAATTCCGGGGCTCCCGGTGAGGTCAGAGAATTGGGGAGAGCCCAGAGGATAAGTGGAGTGGATGCACCCTTCGCCCTGGTTTGGGGCCGGGCCGGAGGTGTGGGCAGGGGGATCGCTGTAATCTTTCCAGAGTCCCACAGGCAGCTCGAGGGTGAGGAAGGAGTGGTAGAGTCCTGTTCCGGAGGAGGGCGGCGGAGACGCAGGAAGAAAGGGGGGGGAGTTGCTATGGCCTTTTTCGATGGATGAGGCTGGCTGGGCTGCCAAGTCTACATGGCAAGAGGAAGAGGTCATACGGGGGGGGGGGGAAAGGGGAAGAGGGAGGGGAAGAGAGGGAGGGAAAGGAAAAGGAAGGAAGGGAAGTGGGAAGGGACGGGGAGCGCCCCGGGGAAGAGAACCCAGCGCCGGGAACAAGAGGTGGTGACGTCACTGGGAGAATGAGGGCGGGGGTGATGACGTAAGTTATAGAGGAGGAGTCGCGAGTTCTGCAGACGGAACAGAAGCAGGAGTCGAAGAGGAGTGGCGAAATAAAAGGGCCGACGGAAGACAAAGGGCGCCAAAAGTGAGGGGGAGGGAGGGGCTTAGGGACGGCCCTGAGGGGCGGGGAAAGAGGCCGGAGGCGGCCCAGGGGGCGGGGGGGGACACCTCACCGGGGACATTTCCCCAGCGGCGTCCGCCATCGGCCTCGGCTTCCGTTTCCTCCCGGGCTCCCGGCGGGACCTTACCCATTTCTTCTTGTGTCGGTGCCTCCGCAGGACCTTTGCGAAGTCCGCTGGCTTCAGCAGGTCCCGAACCCCCCTCGCTACCAGCGCAGTCATGTCGGCGTGCACCGCCGGGTAACTCCGGCCAGAAAGGCAGCCCGAGGCTCCCGCGTTCCGGGAGGCGGTGCGCTCCGCTCAGCCGTAGGGGGCGGGGCTTCCGGCGGCTCCTCCGGAGGCTCCGCCTACCAATGCCTCTCAGGGGTGGGCTGGCCCCTCCAAGGCTCTTCGGAGGATGCTGGACCAGAGCACCCATTCCCAAGAATGGTGGCTCCGCCTGGATGCTTGGTGCATTTGGAGAGACTCCGTGAAGTCCTTATCCCAGAAGCAGGTATCAGGGAGGATTGGGAGCTAGTGGTTGGTACTGAAAGAGTTAGATCCCATATATAATTAAAAGAGAGAAAGTACAGGACTTGCTGATTGACTGACTCTATATTAAATAGTACATACTACACCACCAGTCAGTAGCTGTCCTCTTACCCTACTTTTATTCGAAGCCTGGTGCATGAAATTCGTACATAAGGGGGGGGAGGGGTGTCCTTCAGCCAAGCCTGCATCCTCTCCAATCTGGGGACCCCTCGAGAACAGTTAAACATCCCTCTCACAATCCAGGACTGCTGGCTCCCAACTGCAAGCTTGCCTGCCTTTCTGATTGCCCCTAACCACTCCCCTGCCAGCCTGATTGATGCCTAACTGCTCCCCTGCCAGCCCAGTTGCCAAAAACTGCCTTCCCCTGCTGGCCTGGTCACCCTTAACTGCCCTTCCCTGCCAGCCTGGTCACTCTTAACTGCCCTCCCTTGTAGGCTTGATTGCCCCCAACTGCCCTCCTTTGCATGTCTGGTTCCTCCCAACTGCCCTCCCCTGCTGGTCATCTTGTAGCAGCATCCTGTGTCCATATGGGGGCAGCCATCTTTGACCACATGGGGACAGCCATCTTGTGTGTTGGAGTGACAGTCAATTTGCATATTACTCTTTTATTCGGTATGGTAGAGGCCTGGTGCATGGGTGGGGGTCTGCTGGTTTGCCCTGAAGGGTGTCCTGGATCAGGGTGGGGGTTCCCTTGGGGTGTGGGGCAGCCTGAGTAAGGGGCCTGTGTTGGTTTGCAGGCCAGCCATGCCCCCTGGTGACCCAAGAATAGGTTAGGGCCGGCTGGAAGCAGGTATCTGGAATTTATTTATCTTCTATAATTGAAACTTTGGTAGCCTTGAGTGGAGGCCAGGGCATTCCAGGGCAGGCAGGAAGCTTGGCTTCCTCCATCACCAGGGGCAATCCAAGCCTCTGGCTCCCTCCAGCTCTGTGGCCACCACCATATTTGTTGGGATTTATTTATCTTATATAATTGAAACTTTGTAGCCTTGAGTGGAGGCCAGGGCTGGCCAGGAAGCTTGGCTTCCTGCATTGCCAGGGGCAACCCAAGTCGTCTGCTCACCCCAGCTCTATGGCAGCTGCCATCTTAGTTGGGCTAATTTGCATACTTGCTCTGATTGGCTGGTGGGTATAGCAGAATGATGCATTTCCTCTTTTATTTGCATTTCCTCTTTTATTAGTGTAGATTACCACCTAATATGTATTTATTTTCTTATAGCCTGCAAAGTTATTCTTTTTTAAAATATATTTTTATTGATTTTAGAGAAAGAGAAATATCTATCAACTGTCTCCTGCAGGTCACACTCATATTGGGGCTTGAGCCCCATAACCTGGGCATGTACTGTGACCAGGAATAAACCAACAACCTTTTGGTGCATGGGAAGAGGCTCAACCAACTGAGCCACACCAGCCAGGGCAAGTTATCATTTCCAAAAGGTGAAAAACATGCACTTTCTATGTTCATTGCAGCATTATTTACAATAGTCATGATTTGGAAGCAGCCCAAGTGTTTATCAGTTAGATGAGTGGATAAAAAAGCTGTTATACATTTACACAATGAAATACTACTTTAATGGCATACACCCTTAAAAAAACCAAGAAGGAAATCTTACCCTTTGCAATAGCATGGATGGTCCTGGAGAACATTAAACTAAGTGAAATAAGCCAGCCAGAGAAAGACAAGTACCATAATTCCACTCATGTAGAATTTAATGGACAAAATAAAATAACAAAATAGAAACAGACTCATAAAGAACAGAATGACAGCTGTCAGAGGGGAGGAGCTTTGCCCCATTGGTGAAGTGATGAACCAAAAAAACAACAACCTCATAGGTACAGACAACAGTATGGTAATTACCCGAGGGCGGGGGGTGGGGAGCGGTGGAAGAGGGTGGTATAATGGTAATAGAAAGAGACTTGACTTGGGATGGTGAACACAATACAACATACAGATGATGTGTTATAGAATTGTACATCTGAAACCTATATAATTTTATTAACCAATGTCACCCCAATAAATTGAATTTAAAAGGTGAAAAACATAACTCATCTATATATATAAAAGCCTAATATGCAAGTTGTCCCCTTGGGAATTCCTCTAGGAGACCAGGAGTTTGATTTCTTGCTATAATGTGCACTGACTACCAGGGGGCTGACTACCAGGTGCAGAAAGAAGAAAGAAGAAAGGCCCTATCTGGCAGCTGAAGGCCCTTATCAGCCCTGATTGTGGCCAGGCCTAGGGACCCTACCTGTGCATGAATTTTGTGAACCAGGCCTCTAGTACAAATATAAAATGAACACATGCCAAAGATTTTCTTCATTAAAATAAACTACTCATCTGTTATTATCCTAAATAATGAGGGAACTATAAGATGGTAGTACTTGTTCAAATGAGAATTTGAGGTTCAGAGATTTAGATTATCTAAATGCTGAAATGAATTTGTTAATCGTTGCAAAATGATTAACATATTAAGTAATAAACTATAATATTTAGAATTATCCCTTCTTCCAGATGGAAATCAATTCCATCTCTACTGGACAAAATTCATGCTCATTACTGTGGATGGGAATCATTTGCATTGCTCTCAGACAATTATTATTGATTGACATTGTCATTGGTTTTTCTACAAGTTAACCTCTATCTACAAAGTTGTAAGATAGTCTAAACAATATAAAGTCAATCAAAGGTATATATCAACAATACAATGAAGGAGCACCTAGGATGTTTTTTTTCATTATGAATTTCTTTCTTTCTTTAGTATAGTATTCTGATTTTCAACCAGAAGTGATTTTACCCCTTCTATAAAGAACATTTGATAACATCTGGAGATATTTTGGGTTGTAACTGAGTGGTATTTCTTGCAGTGGGTAGATACTGCTGAAAACCTTATAATACACATAACCTCCTCCTCACCTCACCCCCACACATACACAGAAAGAATTATCCAGACCAAAATGTCAATAGTGCTGAGGTTGAGAAAACCTGATATGGGGCTATTTCAATTTTTAAAAAATCCAAATTCCAAGATATGTTTTTATTTATTTTTAGAGAGAGGAGGTAGAGAGAGAAATAGTGATGTGATGAGAAACATTGATTGTTTGCCTCCTGTATGCACCCCAACCAGGGATTGAATCCATAACCTAAGTATGTGCCCTGACGGGGAATTGAACCCACAACCTTTTGGTGTATAGGATGATGCTCCATCATATGAGTCACCCTACTAGGGCAGGGCATTTTTATTTTCTAATTCTTCTTGTACCAGTTCTGACAATTTGAGTCTTTCAAATAATTTGTTTTGCTCTAAACTGTTGAATTTCTTCCCATAAATAGTTCAGAATATTCTATTGTTTAGTGTCTATAGCAGGGGGCATCAAACTAAAGCCACAAGCTACAGCTTGTTTTTGAAATACTTTTTATACTTTTTATTTACTGTGGCTCCTTTACTGCTACAAAAACAGAGTTGAATGGTTGCTCTAGAGATCATATTGCCCAAAACCCCCAAATATTTACTATCTGAATCTTTATAAAAAAGATTTGTAGGATCTCTAGTATTATACCTGATATTGATAATTTGTGTCTTCTCTCTTCAGTACTTTATCAACCTAAAGGAAATTTTACCTATTCTCTTGAACTTTTCAAAGAACCATACTTGGTTTTGTTGGTTTTTCCTTTTTCTTCTTTTCTAAAAAAATATATATTTTTATTGATTTCAGAGAGGAAAGGAGAGGGGGAGAGAGAGAAACATCAATGATGAGAGAAAAGTCATTGATTGGCTGCTTCCTGCACACCTCTTACTGAGGATTGAGCCCAAAACCTGGGCATGTGCTTTTGCTGGAATTGAACTGGGGAGCCTTCAGTCCATGTGCCAATGCTCTATCCACTGAGCAAAACCAGCCAGGGACCTTTTTCTACTATTTCATATACTTCTATTATCATTATAATTTCTACATAATTTGTTCTTTTTATTGTTAGCTATTTTTAATTTTTTTTTTTATAAGATAAGCCCTTGCTTGTTTGGCTCAGTGGATAGAGCGTTGGCTTGTGGACTGAAAGGTCTTGTGTTTGATTCCAGTCAAGGGCACATGCCTGGGTTGAGGGCTTGATCCCCAGTAGGGGGTGTACAGGAAGCAACCAATCAATGATTCTCCCAACTCAGCAGATACTGCATGCAGGCATGATGGCAACTGGATGGCTTGGCTTCCTGACCTTACGGGGCACATTAAGATTCAATCATGAGATTCCGGCAAAGGTAGTCAATTATCATTCTTGTAGTCTTTATGCAAACAATCAGGCCAAATGGAATGTAATAGATGAATTGGTCTTAATTTAGCTCTTTAATAAACGTAAGCGTAATTTTAAGGAGAAAAATTCTATTTCAATAGAAGTTATTAGAATTGGAATATTTTCTTTCCCTTCCACAAGACCATTTGTTATTAATTTGTTATTACTCTTGCTATTCTGAATGCTCAATAATACTAAATTTTATAATAGTTTGTGTCTGCTAGGCCATAAGACCGCCTTCTTCGGTGCCCAGGCCTCATCATCCCTTTGACAGACAGCTAGGATCTCTTGTCTCTGAAAAGAAAACTCCATCCCTCTCCAGCATGGAAGTAGCTAGAAGAGCCCACTGATGTCCATTTTCCCTGAAAGAATTCAAAGCCAGGATCCTTGAAGTAATATATTAGGCAGTTAG